ATAAGATTTCACCTGAGCTGTGCAGAATTATCTCCAGGATGCACAAACAGGCAAGGAATTTATTGGGTTTGCAAAGATGACTGGTTATTGTGGGAGAACATAACTAAACTGATGAAAAACATTCCCGAGTCACAGAGATTATCATTCATAGAAAAGCTACCAGAGATATATGCGGACTGGGAAAAGACAACACTGGATAACGACCAAAACTCAGGAACAGATAGTTTAGAGAACCACAGCAGTAGTGTGGAGGAAGAGGGTATTGTGGTACAAAATAACAGCAATATTACAGAGCCAGGTAATATAAACAGTGAGAGTAACAGTGAGACAAAGTGCATAAATGAAGGAATTGGGACGAAAGACGAAGATGGATCCAATAAAGAGGTAGACAAGACAGGCACAGGTATAAATACCTTGAAAAACGCAAAAACTGAGCATATTTACAAATTCTACGCTAAAGGAATATGCAAATATGGAAAATTAGGAGCAAAATACAATTTTCTGCATCCTCGAAAATGCAGGAACATGTTGGCGAAGGGTACATGCCGTTTTGGAACAGGGTGTAGATACTTTCACCCTAAATTATATCAATTTTCAATTAGGGACAAAAAATGCTACAATCTTCAGTGTCCGGAATTCCACATGAGAGGTACACAGCGTTATAGACAGGAAGATCAATAAGACACTATTGGAAATTTATTTAGAGGAAGGCAGAAACAGAGTAGAAAATATAAGAGAGAGAGGAACAGTCAGATGGAACCACTACAGGATTACAGAGGGGAACGGAGATAACCACAAGACTGGAATACAAATTATCAACAAGCACACAGGTACTACACCACACAACACCCGTCCTACTACCAAAACTGGACGAACCACTTCCAAAACAACACACCCTGGACCTGAGTAGAGTGGGGGGAGAACTACCAAAGCCCACCAGAAGTGACACGCAATGTGGGAAATCATTCATATTTGCACACATACAAGGCTTGAAACCAAAATCAAGAAATAAAGTTAAGTTCATAAATGGCCTCCTAATAGAATTGAACTCAATATTTGGTGCATTTACAGAAACCCACACAAAAGGCCAAATGGATAGTGAAATCTGGATTCTGAATTATAATCTATATAGATGTGACAGAGTAATTAGGTCAAGTGAAAGAGTAGGTCTGTATATTAAAGAGGAGCTGGCATGCACAGTGCTTCTGAACTCATCCAATGAGGTGGTAGAGGTACTTGGAATCAAGGTAGAAAATACGAATCTACTTATTATTTTAATTTACAAACCGCCAGATGCAACAGTTGAGGAATTCACTGAACAGATCCACAAAATAGAGAATATTCTTGATAACCTAGAAAACCCAGCACCAGATATTATCTTCCTTGGAGACTTCAATCTACCCAGTTTAAAATGGAGAATAGTAAACAATAATATTATAGCAGGAAATCAACATGGAAATAACCAACCACAGGTCAGAGAACTATTGAGATTCTGTGACAAATTCTCGCTCAGTCAGGAGATTACAGAACAAACTAGGAACGAAAACACGCTGGACCTGATATTCACGAACAATGAGGAGCTAATCAGAGACATTACTGTCTCAGATACTACGTACTCGGACCACAAGCTCATTGAAGTGCAAACTAACATTAATAACGGTAGTAGACCCAAGAGAAACAACAAACGAGAAGGGTTATTCAATAAATTCAATTTTAATAATAAGAGGATAGACTGGGAGAAAATAAACAGGGAACTTACAAACATTCAATGGGAAAATGTTCTAAGAAATAAAAATCCTACACAAGGAATAGAAAAACTGACTTCTGAAGCATATGAAGTCTGTCTGAAACATGTTCCTTTGAGGAAAGCCAGAAAGAGGTCAAATGTAGAAAGAGAACGCAGACGACATTACAAAAGGAGGAAGAAATTAACGGAAATGCTTCAGCAGACACGACTCTCCATACAAAGAAGAAATAATTTAAACAGGGAGATTGAAGAAATCGAACAGAGACTGAAGCATTTTTATCAGACTGAAGAAAGGCAACTAGAACAGAAAGCATTTCAAGAAATAAAGAAAAACTCAAAATATTTCTTCACATTTGCTAAATCAAAAGCGAAAACCACTGCCAGTATTGGACCGATTCGTATTAGTGAAGGTTCATACACTGAGGATGACAAACAAATTAGTGAAATCCTAAAAAAGCAGTATGAGGACATGTTTAGCACTCAGATACTCAGCATGAAAGTGGAAGATTCGGACAATTTCTTTATGAATGATACTCAAACGCCTGTAAATATAACCGATATCAACACGAGCGTGGCAGATTTTGAAAGAGCAATGGACAATATGCCCATGCACTCAGCCCCGGGTCCAGACTCATGGAATTCAATATTTATAAAGAAATGCAAAGTGCCAGTAACACAGGCACTCAGTATAGTGTGGAGGAAGAGCTTGGACACAGGGGTGATTCCAGATGCGCTTAAAGCAGCAGACATAGCCCCTCTACACAAGGGTGGTAGCAAAGCATTGGCAAAGAATTATAAACCAGTTGCACTAACGTCCCACATAATAAAAGTATTTGAGAGAGTGATCAGGAGTCAGGTCACTAGATTCATGGAAACTAATGACCTCCCCAATCCAGGCTAACATGGATTTAGAGCAGGAAGATCATGCCTCTCACAGCTACTTGACCACTGTGACAAAATCACTGAGGCATTAGAGGAAAAACATAATGCAGATGTCGTATACACAGATTTTGCAAAAGCATTCGACAAATGTGACCATGGAGTGATTGCACACAAAATGAAGTCAATGGGTATAACTGGTAAAGTAGGACGCTGGATACTCAATTTCCTGTCGAACAGAACACAAAGAGTAACAGTCAATCAAGTAAAATCGAGTACGAGCGCAGTTAAAAGCTCAGTACCTCAAGGTACAGTCCTTGCACCACTGCTGTTCCTTATTCTCATATAGACAAAAACACAAGTCACAGCTTCGTGTAATCCTTTGCAGATGATACAAAAATCAGCATGAAAATTACCTCTGCTGAAGACATTGATAAACTACAAACAGATATTAACAAAGTTTTCGATTGGGCAGCAGAAAATAACATGATGTTTAACGGTGATAAATTCCAGGTACTCAGATACGGTAAAAATGAGAACCTTAAACATAATACAAGGTACAAAACACAATCAAATCTGCCCATAGTAGGAAAACAGCATGTCAAGGATTTGGGAATAATGATGTTCGACGACCTAACGTTTAGGGAGCATGAACAAGCAAGTATTGCATCAGCCAGAAAAATGATAGGATGGATTACGAGAACCTTCAAGTCCAGAGATCCCATCACAATGGTTGTACTCTTCAAATCACTTGTGTTGTCCCGTCTTGAGTACTGCTCAGTACTCACTTCCCCTTCAGAGCAGGAGAAATTGCTGAAATAGAGGGAATACAGAGAACATATACGGCACGCATAGACGAGATAAAGCACCTAAATTATTGGGATCGTCTCAAAGCTCTCCAAATGAACTCACTAGAAAGGAGACGAGAGAGATACCAAATAATATACACATGGAAAATACTAGAGGGACAGGTCCCAAATCTACACAGTAAAATAACAACGTACTGGAGTGAACGACATGGAAGAAAATGCAAAATAGAACCAGTGAAGAGCGGAGGTGCCATGGGCACAATCAGAGAACACTGTATGGACATCAGAGGCCCGCGGTTGTTCAACGTTTTACCAGCGAGCATAAAAAATATTGCAGGAACAACTGTGGACATCTTCAAGAGGAAACTAGATTGTTTCCTTCAAGGAGTGCCGGACCAACCGGGCTGTGGTGGGTATGTGGGCCTGCGGGTCGCTGCAAGCAACAGCCAGGTGGACCAATCTCTCACAAGTCAAGTCTGGCCTCGGGCCGGGTTTGGGGAGTAGAAGAACTCCCAGAACCCCATCAACCAGGTATCAACCAGGTACTTCACTTTCTGGAGTGTACGTCAAGGCCTATTGTTTACTTTATGGCCTATAGTTTACTTCATGGCCTATAGTTTACTTCATGGCCTATAGTTTACTTCATGGCCTTCAGGGCATGGTGTGTGCTTCAGGGCATGGTGTGTGCTTCAGAGCATGGTGTCTTCAAGAAATGTCATGGAGCTTCAAGTCCTGATTAGTACTTCAAGGTCTAAAGTGTTCCTCAGGTCATGCAGTGTCAATAAGAGTCAGAAGGGTACTTCAGGGCCGGGATCATGCATCAGGGTCTGAAGTGTATTTCATGGTCTGAAGTGTATTTTACATTCTTGAGTGTACTTCAGGGTCTGGAGTGTACTTTAGGGTCTGAAGTGTTCTTCACGTCTTTGAGTGTACTTCAGGGTCTGAAGTGTTCTTCGTGGTCATAAGTGCATTTCATATTTTGGAGAGTACTGCAATACCTAGAGTGGACCTCAGGTCCTTGATTGCGCTTCAGGGTCTGTAGTGTACTTTAGGGTCTGGAGTATTTTTCATGATCATAAGTGTTTTTCAAGATCTGGAGTGGAATTCAGTTCCGGGAGTGTACTTCAAATCCTGAATTGTACTTCAGTGTTTGAAATGTGCTTCAGGGTCTGCAGTGTACTTCTGGGTCTAAAATGTAGTTGAAGGTCTGGAGTACACTCCAGGTCCCTGGAGAGTCCTTCAGGGACTCAAATGTATTTTAGGGGTCTTCAGTCTAGTGTAAAGATAGGAGAATACTTTTTGTCTTGGAGTGTATTTCAGAGCCTGAAGTCTACTTCATGGTCTGGAGTGTACTTCAGGGTATTGATTATACTACTGGATCTTAAGTGTACGTTAGGGCCTGGCATGTACTTATGCTCCTGGAGTGTACTTCAGGGCCTGGACTGTATTTCAGGGATTGGAGTGCACTTCAGGGTAAGTAGTATATATTTGAAATATACTAGTAGTGGTAGTGTGGGTGGTGGTAATATATAGTGGTATATATTTAATATTTGACGTGTTGGCAGGTGTGAAGGAGAGGGAGAACGCTACCCGCCGCCTCCTGGACACTCTGGACCAGCTGGAGTGCGTCAACAAGGCTCACCAAGCTGACAACCTCAAGCTGGAGGAGGAAAACACTCGCCTAAATACAGCGATTCATTTGCTCGAGGAGGACAACAGGAAGACTAAGAACGAAGTGCAACTTGCTCAGGAGGAGATTGTCCTATTAAAGTCCCAGATCCGTCAAGTGGAGGAAGACTCGAGGCTGGTCAAGGAGGAGATCCGTCAAGTGGAGGAGGACTCGAGGCTGGTCAAGGAAGAAAACAGGAAGACTAAGAACGAAGTGCAACTTGCTCAGGAGGAGATTGTCCTATTAAAGTCCCAGATCCGTCAAGTGGAGGAAGACTCGAGGCTGGTCAAGGAGGAGATCCGTCAAGTGGAGGAGGACTCGAGGCTGGTCAAGGAAGAAAACAGGAAGACTAAGAATGATGTTCGTTTATCAGAGGAGGCGAATCGTCATCTAATGGCTGACATTCGTCAAATGGAGGAGGACTCGAGGCAGGCCAAGGCGAGGAACCGACAGCTGGAGCTGGCGGAGACCCAAGCCCAGGAGAGGGTCATGACGGCGTTGACGAGGATCACTGAGCTAGAGCGAGAGACACAACAGCTGCGAGACATGAATAATAACACAGCAGGAGAAAAAAGTCTTGTTCAAGAGCTACTCTCCGTCATGGCAGAAAAGAGTCGCTTGAGGGAAGAGGAACACGAGAAGTGCAAGAGGAATGTCAGTGAGCTGACCACAAGGTAAACTGTGCTACTTTACTTCTGACCTTCACTCTCCTTCCGCCTTCTTTTACCTTACTTCTGGGGGGAGTAAGAGGGAGGGCTGTGTGTATGAATGTGTGCATGAATGTATATGAATGGCATCAATCTTGTGAATCCTGTCCAGCATTCTTCTTAGATCTGTGCTTTGGACCGACATCAATGGCTTGAGGGCCAATGGGGACATCCTGGATTTTCCTCGATTGTTTGAGGGCCAATGGGGGCACCGAGGAGAGTGTAGTCAGGTGGCTCGACAACGAGAATGTCTGGAACAACAGTTTTTATTTGGCAGTGATGTCTGAGTTGCTGGAGACTATTTCGCATTTGAATGCATTGAGAACGAGGCCCAAAGCTGCTCCTTGCTTCTGGATTTTCCATATATCCTCCAAAATGGTATCTGGAGTTCCGCCGAGAGTACCACCTTTCAGGTACCAGATGTTTAGCTCGCTTGTCAGACTGTCAGTGACCTCTTTGATAGCTAAGCAGAAAAGGAGGGGGGCTAAGTGATCACCTTGTTGGACTCCTTCAAAGAAGTTTATTTCATGCTCCCCAAGGAGTGATGTCCTCAGGGACGCCGCCTGCCAAACACTTGTTGGAGAATCTGGTAAGTTCCATTAGAAGATCCTTTGCGGCATCTCCAAGCACTGGGTTCAGCATCTGTTTGATGTCCATATATATATATATATATATATATATATATATATATATATATATATATATATATATATATATATATATATATATATATATATATATATATATATGTCGTACCTAGTAGCCAGAACGCACTTCTCAGCCTACTATGCAAGGCCCGATTTGCCTAATAAGCCAAGTTTTCATGAATTAATTGTTTTCGACTACCTAACCTACCTAACCTAACCTAACCTAACTTTTTCGGCTACTTCACCTAACCTAACCTATAAAGATAGGTTAGGTTAGGTTAGGTAGGGTTGGTTAGGTTCGGTCATATATCTACGTTAATTTTAACTCCAATAAAAAAAATTGATCTCACACATAATGAAATGGGTAGCTTTATCATTTCATAAGACAAAAATTAGAGAAAATATATTAATTTATGAAAACTTGGCTTATTAGGCAAATCGGGCCTTGCATATTAGGCAGAAAAGTGCGTTCTGGCTACTAGGTACGACATATATATATATATATATATATATATATATATATATATATATATATATATATATATATATATATATATATATATATATACATATATATACATATAGGGAGGTACCACCACTGGTGCAATTATGGGGACCCACAGCCTCAGAGAAGGGAACACAGAGCATTCAAGGAAAAACTTGCCATTTAACTATGAATACGAAAGAGTGTTCGCTTCTCCTACCACCCCCCTTGTTTTTTTTATTATGGTGTACACTTTATTATGCAAGGTTATACAGTTACATATCTGATTTTATACAAAAAATGAACATTAAGAAGACACAAGAAAAAGTTCGCTTCCTAGAGGCTGTAAATTTCCTCGAACTCCTCCGACGCAGGGCAGGAACCGAGGATGCAGCGGCATTTCCCCTCTGGATCGCGACACTGAGGCGCTGAAAGAGAAAACTTGCCGCTCTAGGGTCTCTTGTGGTGTCAATGAGCTTGGAACCAAGATCCTTAAGAAACCTTCTTGCACTCTCACCCCATGGGCCTAGGGTCTCAGACCCTATTGGAACGAAGTTGTACCGTTGATCTAATTGTCTGTACTTGACTGACTTGTGTTTTTCTCTGTGTGTCGCTGCGGCTCTTGCTGTGCCGGCAGAGAGGGTGATGTATGTCGTTGCCAGGGTGGATACGCAAGTATAGTCCCTGAGTCCCTGAGTCCCTATAGTCCCTTTATATATATATATATATATATATATATATATATATATATATATATATATATATATATATATATATATATATATATATATATATATATATATATATATATATATATATATATATATATATATAAATGGAAATGTTCGTTTGTTGAAAATTGCTAATCTCCGAAAGTTCTTGACCGATTGCTTTGAAGTTTTCACACAATGTTCCATTTGCATCCGGCCAGGTTTTTATATGCATACTATATAGATGTCACGTCTGTGACAGTAAAAAAACATGCTTTTTCTGAAATACTGTGTTTTTCATGTGTTTTTCATGTCAGTGAAATCTTCGAAACCTCTTTACCGATTGCTTTGAAATTTTGACACAACGTTCCATTCGAATAGTCGCGTTTTTTATATATCTACTATATACATGCCTCACCTGTGACAGGAAAAAACATGCCTTTTTTTAAAAACAGCGCCATCTGTTTGACGTAAGAGCAACACACGTTGTAATCTTCGAAAGTTCTTCACCGAATGCTTTGAAATTTTGATACAACGTTGCATTCAAATAGGCGCGTCTCTTTATATACCTACTATATAGATGCCACTTCTGTGACAGGTAAGAACATGCGTTTTTTGAAAAACAGAACCATCTGTTGCACATAATGGCAACATGTACACTATACTATATATATTACGAATTCCATTTCAGTGTTTCCGATTGCTATGATAAATTTGATTTTCATAGATTTCGATTTATTTTATTTTTTAGTGAATTATTTTGTGTGACATTGTGTTGGAATTGACGTGCGTTGTTTACCAGACTATTCATTTCGTGAGTATAGCTTATTTTTTTATTTTTTCATATTTTCGTTTCATTTTTTTAACTGTTTTTTATATTTCAGTGATGGGAACATCAGATCACTTGATGTTCCCAATTTACTTGTGGGAACATCAGACAATTTGGGAAGGCATCGGACGAGGGAGTGGGGAATGGTGGAAATGACGAGGGGACGGAAGTGAGAGATGGTGAGGAGGACGAGGGGACAATGGAGGAGGTAATAGTGGGGATGAACGAGGGGACGGGGGAGTTTGGAATGGTAAAGACGAGGGGATGGGGGAATGGAGAATGGTGGGGGAAGTCAAATAGACAGAGGAGTGGGGCATGTTGGGAAGGAAGAGGTGATGGTAGAGTGGGGAATGGTTGGGAGGCTGAGGAGACGGGAGAGGGGTGATTGGTGAGGAGGGCTGGGGGATAGGGAAGGCTGCTGGGCCTCAGCAGCGCGAAGCCGGGTATTGCTAGTATATATTTATATATATATATATATATATATATATATATATATATATATATATATATATATATGTCGTACCTAGTAGCCAGAACTCACTTCTCAGCCTACTATACAAGGCCCGATTTGCCTAATAAGCCAAGTTTTCATGAATTAATGTTTTTTCGTCTACCTAACCTACCTAACCTAACCTAACCTTGCTTTTTTTGGCTACCTAACCTAACCTTACCTATAAATATAGGTTAGGTTAGGTTAGGTAGGGTAGGTTAGGTTCGGTCATATATCTACGTTAATTTTAACTCCAATAAAAATAAATTGACCTCATACATAGTGAAAAGGGAAGCTTTATCATTTCATAAGAAAAAAATTATAGTAAAAATATTAATTCAGGAAAACTTGGCTTATTAGGCAAATCGGGCCTTGAATAGTAGGCTGAGAAGTGAGTTCTGGCTACTAGGTACGACATATATATATATATATATATATTTTTATATATATATATATATATATATATAAAATATATATATATATATTTATCAAATAACTATATCAAATAGCCTCGGCTATCACCTCATTATGTCCGGTCGTGATGGTCAAGTGGATTAAGGCGTCTTGTACATACCAGTTGCGGTGCTTCTGGGAGTATGGGTTCGAGTCACTTCTGGGGTGTGAGTTTTCAGTTGCATATTGTCCTGGGGACCATTCAGGCTTGTTCGCATTTGTGTTCCTCACGTGTGCCCCAAAGAATGAGGTGATTTGGTAAAATGCTATGCCCAAGATTACTATCCGAGTGCCGGCGGTGGGGTGGTTCAAATAGCCTCGGCTATCACCTCATTATGTCCGGTCGTGATGGTCAAGTGGATTAAGGCGTCTTGTACATACCAGTTGCGGTGCTTCTGGGAGTATGGGTTCGAGTCACTTCTGGGGTGTGAGTTTTCAGTTGCATATTGTCCTGGGGACCATTCAGGCTTGTTCGCATTTGTGTTCCTCACGTGTGCCCCAAAGAATGAGGTGATTTGGTAAAATGCTATGCCCAAGATTACTATCCGAGTGCCGGCGGTGGGGTGGTTCAAATAGCCTCGGCTATCACCTCATTATGTCCGGTCGTGATGGTCAAGTGGATTAAGGCGTCTTGTACATACCAGTTGCAGTGCTTCTGGGAGTATGGGTTCGAGTCACTTCTGGGGTGTGAGTTTTCAGTTGCATATTGTCCTGGGGACCATTCAGGCTTGTTCGCATATATATATATATATATATATATATATATATATATATATATATATATATATATATATATATTAGTATATTTTGGTAGCAGTCTTTCCTGTAAACATATATTATTAAATATGACCGAAAAAGTAAGATTAATAATTCTAACACGAATTTTCTCAATCTTTCGTACATTTCTTTTCACTGTTGTAGGTAACTCAAAAATCAATTCTCCAAAATTCATTTTTATTTCTAGTCTGACGCGACACTTGAGCGTGTTTCGTAAAACTTATTACATTTTCAAAGACTTTACACATACACAACTGAATAGAACTTACATATCTCCGATTTGTTTATATCTACATTTGAGTGAGGTGGATGGGGTGAGGTGGTATTAAATAGGGTACTAATTTCATCAACACAAGACAGAACACGAAACAATGGGTATTGAAATGGAAGTGATTGTAGAAAGCCTATTGGTCCATATTTCTTGATGCTTCTATATTGGAGCGGAGTCTTGAGGTGGGTAGAATATAGTTGTGCATTAATTGGCTGTTGATTGCTGGTGTTGACTTCTTAATGTGCAGTGCCTCGCAAACGTCAAGCCGTCTGCTATCGCTGTATCTATCGATGATTTCTGTGTTGT